CTTCTGGCTTGCCCCTGTCCTAACCTGCTAGTTGTTGTCTCCGTGGGTTGTTTTTCAGCCTCCTACCCCTCCAGGAGCAGCCCCAGTTCCAGCTCTGGAGAGCTAGCCCGTTCAGGCATGGGCAGGGTAGCCAAAAACCAGTTTTCCCTGAAGATGAAGGGGGCAGAGTGCGTTCCAAATATGTGTCTTAGCTTGAGGTGCTGGGCAACCTCTTGGCATATTCAGAAAAGCAACGGATTAGAGAGGAAAACGCTAATACGGGTCTTAGATTTGTCCCTTAGAGAAACTGATGTAACCCATGGGTTACAGGCTTGGGGGAGGGGAGTAGCAAGGGAGTGAAAATGAGTCTGAATAATTCTGCCCTCAGTGGAGGATGCAAAGGAGATCAGACAAAAATGCAGTCCCTTTCTTTAGCCCGGTTCCTAAGTTCCTTAGAGGAGAGTTTCTGTGCTCCATCAGGAACACAGCCTGGAGGAAACAGATTGGGGTTCTGTCTCTCCTGCCCAATCTCTGATTGATGAGCACATCTGTCTTTTGCCTTCCTAACAGCCCTGAGTTTATTTGTGATTTCTTTTTCCTTTTCTCTCTCTGCCGGTCCACACATACTCTTGAGTTCAGTAAGACTTTTACTTTGCCAAAGTCCCCATTTCTTCTAATCTATTATTGATCCTGCTGTCATTTGTTCATCTCTGCCTTCCCACAGAGTCTGGCCATGTCCATCTCCTTCCACACATCTGTGATTCCCCCGTGTTAGGTCATCAACTCTTATTTGTCTCATTAGATCTAGAGCCCACTCCATCTCCGTTTTCCTCTCATCGCCTGAGGCTTCTGGCTCTTTATGGGTCGTGAGGTTTCTGAGGGGAAGTTATATTTGAGTTGAGCATGGGATAGGAACCCAGAAGCTAACCTCAGGTCACACTCACCCCTGAAACTTTTTGTCTTCTCAGTCCTCATAGCTCCTCTGTTAACTCTTAATTGCTCCTCATCTTTGGACAACCGTGGCCCTCAAAGTGTGGCCCCAGACCAGTAGCTTTAGTATCATCTGTGAACAAGTTAGAAATGGAGATTGTCAAGCCTTAGCCTAGACCTACTGAATCGGAAACTCTGGCGTCAGGCCCAGTGGTCTGTTTTCATAACCCCCACCCCTCAGGAAATTGTGATTTGTGCAAGTTCCAGAATCCCTGGTCCTCAGCTATAGAGCCTATCCCTAAGAGCCCTCCAGCTGGAGAGCAGAGGGGCTACAGATCCCATTTTCATTCTTTCCTTAAGCTTTTCTCTAGCTCTAAGACATTATTCCATGGCAAATAATAATAGTCCATTCATTCACTACCCCTTTATCGAATCCTATATTACTGGGCTTGGAAAACACAGCCCTTGTCCTCAGTGGGTTAAAAGCTGATCGGGCAGAGAGACACATAAACAACTAACTGTGATACAATGTGATAAGTGTAATAATAGCTGCCTGCTGAAGTGCTGTGGGAGCACAGAGGAGGGAATGATCCACTTGCTCTGAGGGAGGTAAAGAATTAATCAGGAGCAGGATGTGGTGAGACGAGGAATTAAGGAACAAGTCAGGCTCTTAGCCCCAGGGATAGGATTTTTAGCTTTGCCCGCTGACAAGAAAGGGGAAGGGGGGAGGGGGCAGCTGCCCTTGAGGAACGGGCACGCGGCTGAGCAGAGCCTGCATCCAGTAGCGCTGGGGCTTAGAATCTAGCAAGACCCCCCCCCCCCATTTGCAGCTGGTGAGTGTTGGCTTTCTTCAAGCCTGAATGATGTGAGCTACCTGGGTCTGGCCTGGAGGTCAGTGGCTAAGAATAAGGCGCTGGTGAAACTGTAATCTGGATTAGCTGCTGTACCACCCTCTCACTAGAGTTCCCTGTGAAGAGAGACAGGGAGTCATGGGCTGGGGGGCAGGCAGACTAAGGAAATGTGAGCATGGAGACCCAAGTCATAGGCGGGGAATGATACACACAGCGAAAAGAAACCAGAGCAGGATCTGTGTAGAAGACACTGTAGGAACCTGGAGATGGCAGGAGGGAACACAGACAGAGAACACAGCATATTCTCCAAATGGCCACGGGGCTGCCGGGCCCACATGCTTGAAAACTAAAACCACCAGAGAGCATGGTTCACATGCAAGTCTATGGAAATAAAGTCCTTGGAGTTCCATATGGTGGCCCAATGAAGATCTGTGATCTAAGGACACCAGTGCCATCTTGGTTCCTTTTCTTTATGACAGCATCTCTGGAAATTCAGGATGTATGTCAAAATTTGATTTGGCCAAAGGAGCAGTTAAGTGGCTGAATTTTTGTTTGGAAGAAGGAGAGGTTCCAACTTCATACTTTCTGCCCAAAATGATAGAATTCCACAGAGAGTTTCTAGTAGCTGGACCTTGCTGGGAGGCCTGGATTCTATGTCTGGGCCCCCATAGGATCCCTTGTGAGAACCAAGTTGGAACCAAAAAAAAAAAAAAAAGAGGAAGCCAAAGCAGTCCATGGTTTTATCATCTTACAGAGGGGTGGGAGATGGGGCAGGCAGGGACCACAGCAGTTTGGAGACAGGGTCAGACAGTCTCCTTCCTTAAGTTCCTATCCTTTGTGGAGTACAAAGATGTAAAGCAGGATATGAAAACCTCACAGGCCTTCAAGGGCCAGACAGGCAACAAAAATATGTGACATGTCTGGAAAGAAACAGAAGGGAATGGTGGGGCCTGTAGAGAAATGGAAAGCACAGGCCCACTTCGAGGAACCCCCCCAAAAATTATTTTTAAACAGCATACTGGCCACATACTGGGGGCTGGCTTTAGTAGGTTTGTGACTCCTGATAAAAGGAAAAGGGATCATGGAAACAGAAGGTGAGGGGGGCCTGTATGTAGGACTTATTGTGGGGAGGTCTATGCAGGGAGAGTGCGAGTGCTAGAAATATTCATCCCGGAGCTAAGTGTGAGCGTGGCTGCTGGTGAAGGGCTGAGAAGCATGAAATTGAAATGGTCCTGGGGCTTGGCCTGCTTTCCCGTCCAGCGACTGAGGGTATTAGGTGACTCTAGCTCAGGTCACACCTTGCCCACAGAACCCTTTGCTCAGGGTGACTCAACTCTGACCTAGAGTTTATTTTTATATAAATATTTACAGAGCAAATTCAAAGGCTCTGTTGGGGACTAGGGGAAAAGATGGATTTTAAACAGAAAGGAGTCTTAGGCCTAGTGGAAATGAAGCTCTCTTTCCTATTACAGGAACGAAAGCCCAAATCTGGGAACCCTAGACCTTAGCTCCCTTGCACGTCCGTCATTCACGCTTCTCCCAGGAAAGTCCTTACGTGTTTCTCTTTGGGAGAAGGGAGGAGCAGGCAATCCTGGCCTTCACGTGGGTCAGGTTCAGCTTCGTGGAACCAGTTAATGACGGAAGCCAGGCTCTGCCTTTGCATGCCGGTGGGAACACACCTCCCTACCCACCCACAGCTCACCACCCATTCGTTCTTCCTCCCCCAAAATTATACAAGAGCTTCTCTGTACCTCCTTCCCAGAACCAGAGACTGCCAAGATCATAGCCCTCGCCCTAGGAAGTGGTGCTAAGGATTAAACTGTATCTTTGTGTTTGAGAGGCACTAGGAAAATGAGAAATGCAGAATTTGGGGTGCAGATAAAGTTACAGATCCAGCCCCCTCCATTCACTTGGATGGCTGCTGAATGAATGCTAAATTACACAAGAACTTTGGATAGTAGAGTTTTTTGTTTCTTTTTTTAAATCCCTAGCAGCTAATCTAAAGCTCATTTGTTAGTTTTGAGAGGGACAGGGTTTGTTTGCATAATGTAGCGTCCGTTAGTAGCGCTGGCAAGCGCACATTTCTGATTTCCCCAACCTGGTCCCTAGAAGGGAGCAATGGGTACTGATCTCTCCCGGGGAGCTCAGAGGGACTCCAGGAAGTTTGAGGAGTGTGTCAGTGTTGTGATTGAGAGCTTGTCCCCCAAAGTCAAAAAGAACCTCACTTCAGAATCCTGCTCTGCTCCTTCCAGCCATGTGAACCTTGAACAGTGACCGAACTTACACGGTGCCGCTTCCTCATCTATGAAATGGGGATGATAATGGGCCCTCGCCCATAGGTTATGATGAGATGATGCATGTAAATGGTGAGGACACATGTCACGGCTGACATGTATCAAACACCTAGTCAGTGTTCCCTCAAACAAACGAAAGGAAGCAAAGGGGAGAGAACCGTACGTACTGTGTCTTCCTTTGAGCTCCTGGGCAGCGCATCCATACTTACTCAATAGTGCATCCGTCCTCCTGGTCTATCACAGATGCATCTTAGCGCAGCAGGATCTTGGTCATTTCACCTTAAATCTCCTTCAGGGTACAGCAGGCCATCTTGTGTCGAGGAGGGGCTCAGAACAGTTTGTGGAACCCGGGAATAAAAGAACTCTGGTTTATACTCATTACTGACCAAGGGGCGCCATGCTGCCTGCATTCTCTGGCCTATACACTGCTGCCCTGAACCAAACGGAAAGCCATCGTCACATTCAGCCCCGGCTCTATTCACTGGCCCTCTCTGGCTTGAGGCTCTGGAGCCCTTCCCCACCGCGTGGCTCTGACACCGCTGTCTTCTGGCCTCAGTCCAGTGCGTCCTGTCCCTATGCTTCCCCACCATGGCTTCCCCTCTCCCACCGGGGGCTGATTTCCATTGACAGAAAAACCAACCACCATCATTGGCCTTCGGGAGAGCGCAGCAGATCTAGGGCAGGAAGACAGCAGGCCATGGAGAGCGGTGGGCTCAGTGGCCCCGAGACACCCCTCACCAGCTACGTTCCCCCTTGCAGGAGCAGGAGGCCACCCACCACCATGAGCAGCACCCTGTCGCCCACGGACTTCGACAGTTTGGAGATCCAGGGCCAGTACAGTGATATCAACAACCGCTGGGACCTGCCCGACTCTGACTGGGACAATGACAGCAGCTCAGCCCGCCTCTTTGAAAGGTCACGCATTAAGGCCCTGGCAGGTGAGATCAGGAGAGGGCCAGGGGAGATGCTGAGGACGCTGGGGACAGATGCTTGTCGTGAGGAGTCCTTTAACTTCATTGGAAGGCCAACTTTCTTTCTAAGCTGCTGCACTAATGTAGGAAATTACCCTATCAAGCCCCTCGTCCCCAACTCCAGCCTCAAGAACAAACTTCATGCAATCCAGAATGTCCCCCAAGCACAGAGAAGCCATGCTGACCCCGGGACTCCGCTGTGTCCCCCTTTGCACTCAGCTGATTTCCTGGCCTCTGTCCCTGCGTCATGTTCTTAATTCTTTTGCACTCTTACTTTTGCCATTCTGTTTCCACCTACCTCTCCTTTGCCGCTCATCCCCTTGTGTCTTCCTTGATTTCCACTGTCATCTCTCACACCTGTTCTCCCTCCCAGTCCATTATCTTCTCCTCTCCCTCCCCACCTGTTCCTTCCACCTGCCGCTGTTCCTCCCATTATTTCTTCTACCTGTTCCCTGAAGCAGGTACCCTCCGCCCTCCGCTGGTTTCCGCAGCCGCCCATTCTCCCGGGTTTGCTCTCTGCCCGGCCCCTGCCTTCCCCTAAGGCCTGGGCTCTCCCCTTCAGCTCCTCTGAGCACAAACAAACCCGTTGGACGGGCCTCCCTGCGTTCCGGGAGGAGTTGTCATGGCAACAAGAGTACAGCTGCCACCTGACACCACCAGCGGCTGGTATGGGGCTGAGTCACTCACACACCCCAAGGCCACCCACTCCAGCTGACTACCCTCCTCCATCCCACCCTCGTCTTTTCCACTGACCTGCCGGCCTCCCAGCCCAGTGCTGTGGGAGAGGTCTCAATTATTCCCTCCTGAGAGGTGGTGCTCCCAGTGTGGGTGGGGTGGCCTCCTGGAAGAAGGGGGATACTGAAGGGGGTGGTTCCCAAACCTGGCCACACGTTTTACAGGGTCACCTAGGGCCGTTTTTATAAACACAGGCTCTGAAGCCCCTTCCTGGACACACTGAATTAGAATCTTTGGACGTATGGCCCAGAAATCAGTCAGGTTTTTTTAAGCTCTCCAGATAATTCTTTTCAGCCAGCCCAGCACTAGTCTGAGGGCCCCCATGTGGTGGCCATAGCTTCTAGGGATCCCTGTCATCTTCTCCTGGGCTTCTCTGCCCTTCTGGTTGGGTCTTCAGGCTGGCTTATGAAATACTCATATCAGTGTTTCCATAGATGAGAGAAGACAGAAGGCGTGGGTTATGGAGAATGTCGCCTCTTTGGGGGAAAGTTTCCCTGGTGCCCTGACTTTGGATACATGAAGCCTCTAGAACTGTCGTGATGTCTGCTCACATGGCACGCGATACCTGGGACTGTTGCTCTGTCTGTGCACCCCGTGCTGTGGCTAGGCGTTTACCTCCGCCACTGAGTGGGGCTCTCTGCAGAGGCATCTCTGTGTGGGCTTTGCCTCGCGCTGGGCCTCACACCAGTAGGTGTGACTGAATGAAGACGGGAGAGGGGCAAGAGTAGGCTGTAAGGGATAAGAGCTGGAGCCCAGAGAGAAACAGGAAGGGAATGGTAGATGTGCCCAGCGGTGGGTGTGCTGGGGGCCTGGGATGGCCTGGCTGGGGAGGGCCTGGTGGGCCCAGTGGCAGGGAAGGGGCGAGAGCTGGAGGTGATGACAAACAGTGGGAGGGATGACAAGCACCCATTTCACAGATAAGGGGACCTAAGCAATTTCTCTTTCTCTGCTCTCCGAACTGGGACTCAAAGCCCATGTCCAGAAGAGGGACCTCCCAGAGTCACCCAAAGAGGGGCCATCCTTGCCACACCTGGAAACCTTTGGGAAGCCGGGTTTGGCTTTCGGGCACCCTCTCTTGGCTTTTCTGTACTCTTAGGCAACTCGGGGCCTGATGGGCAGGTCTCAGAGGCGCTTGCAGTTGCCTCCTCTGCCCCCGCAGGGCCTGGCCCTGCCCCAGCCGGCCGGGCTCCGCCTCCCACCCCTCCCCCGGCACTGTCCAACCTGTTTGTCTGGAGCTGCCTCTGTCTCCTCTCCCCACAGCCAGGTGTGCCCTGCTACTTGTCCCGGAGCTCAGGAGCTCAGACGTCCGGTAGCTCCTTTTTTCCCACTCCTCGAAACTTCTACCATCTTTGAACCAGCCCCCCACCCGGGACCCCAGCCTCTCGGGATCCCAGGCTCCAGGGGAAGCAGAACCTCCCGCCTGCCCCGGTGTGGGCAGAGCATGGACTCTGGGCCCCAGGCTGTGTAGAAGGCAGCAGGCACCATGAATGGGAATGGAGTGAGCAGGGTGCACGGGCACGGCCTGAACGGGGCTGGTGAGTTTTACTATGAGGCTGTGGAAGGGTCTCAGAACCCCGGGGGCCTCATGCTCTCACCTGCTGCCTTCATCAACCCCACTCAGTACGCCAGCGTGCTGGATGGACGCTTCAAACAGCTACAAGGTGAGTTCTGCGGGCAGAGGGAAGAAAAGACGGGGGAGCCTGGGGGTGTGGGAGAGGAGCCAGAACCAAGATCACGGAGTGGAACATTTGCATTGGGAGACAGTGTGCCGGGGGAATAATTACAAGTAGCCAGAAAAATGCATGGATGCTGACAGCGTCAGGAAAGGCTTGGACCCACTGGAAGGGACTGTGTGAGAGCGTGAGTGGGTGTGACCGCAAGGCCCTGCTGGGTGCGGTAGAGCGTGTGTGTTGCAGAGAATGCAATGAGTATGGAGGCAGCAGGCAGCGGGCGAGCCTGGGAAAGCAGCGTCTGTGTCAGCAATCAGGGAGGCCTTCCGCACAGTCTCACTGAGACAGTTCGCTTTCAGTGGCTTTGGAGATGAAGGCCTGCTAGGATAGATGGGGAAGGACAGAACGGGAGTGAGCCAGAAGGCTGAGGGGTCCAGGGCTTGTTTGTGTCACCTGGGATTCTGAGTGGGTGTCTGAATGTGTGTGAGGAGGCAGTGTGTGTGGAACCATGGAATGTGTCAAAGGGAGTTTGTACAAACAGGCTCAGGTATATGTCTGAGCAGGCGTGTGTTCACCTGGCACCAATATGTCAGTGTATTTCTGGGAGTCCCTGTGTTTTGTGTGTGTTGGGGGGGCGGGCGAAGGGGGCGGGTGTTTATGGATGGTGTGGGCGACTTGTGAAGTTACACCTAGTCTTCGTGCTTGGCTTTGCACACTTTTCTCCTAGCTGCCGCTGTTCCCATGTCTTCCCCTTTTATTCTACCTGTGTGCCAAAATGTCCTCACCCCAGTGTGCCTGGCATCAGGACAGTCCCCAAGGATCCAGGAAATCCCTGAAAGGAGGCCCAAAGGCACCCTTGGCTCCACAGGTGCTACAGAGCAACAGGTCGTCCCGTACAGCTGTTAGGACCCCGAGTTGGCCCGGGTTCAGGGGTTGGAGGTAAAGACAGGACTAGACATGGGTGTGTCGCTACGTTTCATGGGTGAGGTTCGTAGGAATGTGAGATTAAGGGATGAGTCTTTTTCGGTTTCTGAGATGCTGGTACCATGAGGGGAAAAAGAGTGACTCTCCAGGCCCTGACCACTGGGCACTTCTGGGGAGAACTGGCAGAAATCTGAGTGAGCAAAGCAGCATCCAATGGCCTGAGGCTCTTCCCTCACTTTGTCTTTCATAACATTTTTAATTTTTCTTTTTCTCTGGAACCTAAGAGCATCCCCTCAGCAGCGTATCCCCCTGAGGACCAGGCAACAGGACATTCCCTCACGGTTTTTTTTGAGATGATTGACACCTAACTCTGCCTGGCTCCTTCCACCCCTCACCCCTGCCCCCAGCACACACCCCATGTTTCCTGGGCTCCCTCTTTTCCCTGTTCCCAACTTGAAGACCTTGTTTTACTTCTCGGCATTGGAATGTAGGTGTCCTGGGATGCACCCTGAAGCCCATTGAATGAACCCGCCCCAGAAAAGCCCGTCTTTTCTTTAAATTATCCCAGGAGAACAAGCTGACTCAGGCGGCTTGCAGCCTCTGTGATATCACATCCTTCCAATGGCCACTTGGAAGAGCCGCTGCGTAATTTAAGTCCACACCCTCCCCTTTGGAGAACAGCCACACCGCTTGCTGGGCCTGAGTGACTCTCACTCTTTCACTGGGGTTAGATCATACCTGAAGAATAGAAAGCCACCAAGGAGCCGTTTCATGCCAGGCGTCATACGCACATTGTCTCATTCAATCGGTACAATGACGCACTGAAGTACACAGTAATAGGCTCATTTTACAGATGAGGAAAGTGAGGCTCTGGTGGATGAAGTCACAGCATTTCACCACTGTTAGATGATGGCGCCCTCATCCCGGATCCCAGCCTTTCCCTGTGTATACTGCTGCTTCTAATTTCTTCCATCCTTTCTTCTCAAAGCCTGTTTCTCGCTCTCATTTTTGTTCTGTACCTTGCTTATGAGCTCATTCTAATGTCTTTATTTCCCTGCTTTCTAAGTTATGGATTTTCGTTTCGGCCGTCTTCCTTCCCCCTCCTTCTCCCCAGACCTCACTTCAAACCTTTCAGGTACCCCCTCAACCCCCAACCCCACCAACTGGTGTTTAGACGCAGGTGCACTGTACTTGAAGGACCGAAATGACCCCATGTTGCCACCACAGATGAGCGAGAAGCCGTGCAGAAGAAAACCTTCACGAAGTGGGTGAACTCACACCTGGCCCGGGTGACATGCCGGGTAGGAGACCTGTACAGCGACCTCCGGGATGGACGTAACCTGCTGAGGCTCCTCGAGGTGCTCTCGGGAGAGACACTGGTGAGCTGTGGTCACGAGGGAGGGGGGGAGCCTGAGAAACAGTGGTCAAGAGGACATGCCGCGGGAGTCGCCCTTCGAGAGAGCGGACAGCAGTGGCTGCCCCCTTCTCAGAGGACAGTGTCATTTTGAGAGGCTTTGCTGCGGGGATTAAACAGGAACATTGCTTCGTGGAGACAGGAACAGTAGTCCCATTGAAAACATTTCTTTTCCCACCCACTCTGAGAGCAATTAATTCCCTTGGGAATCTTAATCTGGCCCCAGCCTCCTCTGCAACCTCTCAGCCTTGGCTCTGTGAACCTGGGCCCAGCCCTGGGGCCGTCCCTGTGTTCCTGAGGGAAGGCCTGGGGAAGGTGTGCGAAGCAGGGCCCTGGGGAGGTAGGAGTGAAGGAGGGGGAGGAGGCCCAGGGTCCCATGCCTCTGTGTCCCCTGTCCCTCGACAGCCAAAGCCCACAAAGGGCCGCATGCGTATCCACTGCCTGGAGAACGTGGACAAGGCCCTGCAGTTCCTGAAAGAGCAGAAAGTACACTTGGAGAATATGGGCTCCCATGACATTGTGGACGGGAACCACCGCCTGACCCTGGGGCTGGTCTGGACCATCATCCTTCGATTTCAGGTACCGCGACCCAGTGTCGCTCAGCGTGTGCTGCACACCTGGCACAGTGCCGCCTGTGGTCACTGCCAGGCCACGGCGCCATCGACACACAGATGGAGGGTCAAAAGCTCGTATAGTAATCTGCGGCCATTGTGGGGGACTCTCCTCATTAAACCGGGTCAAGACTAGTATGGGTGTTGTCAAACTTCCGTGGCAAGTTCCCTGTGGCCTGGTCTGTGTCCTGGTCACGTGCAGCAGGACCACATGTCAGGCTACAAGGGACAGATCTCTCTGGTCCTTCACCACTGAGCGTTTTAGAACTACTTTTGGGGTGTGGTCACTGGCCCGTTCCTCTGCCTCAAACTCTGCTTGCCTCCCTCAAAAGAACAGCCGCCCTCCCCCTTCTTATGCCCTGAGCATAGCCAGCCCAGGGTCCTGATGCCATCACAACACTCCTCATGTCCCGGATGTAACCTCCTCTGCTCCTTCCAGCCCTAAGCAGAGCTCTGTCAGCTTCACCTTTGAAGCCCAGCTCCCAGAAAGTGTTCACTTGTCCACCTGCCGTTCCCCACCTGGAGGAACCCCCCTCCTTCACTTGGAGGCACTTCCATTTTTCTGACTTCCTTCCTACCCACTCTGCTGCCTCCCATCCCTTTGACCCAATGTTGTGTGGTCACTATCCCAGGAGGAAAGGTCCCTAGGCTCTGTCCCTGCACCGTAGGAACAGGAAGGAATCTAAAGAGCAGTTTCCTGACATGTATCTCTGAGCATCTCCGGGAACTCCAGGAGCCCCTGTCCAGGGAGTAAAAGCCTTCCTTCCTTCCCTCTTAGATCCAAGACATCAGTGTGGAAACAGAAGACAACAAGGAGAAGAAGTCAGCCAAGGACGCCTTGCTGTTGTGGTGTCAGATGAAGACGGCAGGGTGAGGCTACTCGGAGAGCGTGGCCTGGGAGGGGTGGGTGCACCAAGGCTGCGCGGTAAAGGAAGGATGGGCTCCTGGGACCACAAGCTGGGGATCCGTCCTCGAGTCACAGACCAGGGCCTGGACCTACTCACTGTTTTTCCTGGTCTGTTTATAGGTATCCCAATGTCAATGTGCACAACTTCACCACCAGCTGGAGAGATGGGCTGGCCTTCAACGCCATTGTGCATAAGCATCGGTGAGGAGCCAGGGTTAGCAAGCCCAGCAGAGCTGCTGGAGGGTTAATGACCCAGGGGTGCGCACGCACACGGAGATGAAGCAGTGAGACGAGGGAGCGGAGAAGAGCTAGGATGTGGGGGCTCCTGCCACACTGCAAAGAGGGCTAGTGAGGGGGTAGGAGCAGTGGGTGTGGGTTTGGGGTGCCTGGTTCTGGACAAAATGGAGTTGGTGACTTAGGGATAAACAGTGGGGTGGCTTTGCTTTTCCTTTAGGATCTTACGTGGTTTTGATACCTTCCATATGCCCTCCCACCCAGGCCAGACCTGCTGGATTTTGAGTCCCTGAAGAAGTGCAATGCACACTACAACCTGCAGAATGCTTTCAATCTGGCTGAGAAGGAGCTGGGACTTACGAAGCTGCTGGATCCTGAAGGTGGGCAGAGCTGTGCAAAAAAGAGGCTGTGGGGTAGAGACAGATGGGGTTTCTTTTGGGAGCGATGAAAATGTTCTGGAATTAGATAGTCGTGATGGCTCTACAACCTTGTGAATATACCAAAAGCCACTGAATCGTATACTTTAAAAGGGTGGATGTTAATGGCATTAAAGTTATATCTCAATTAAAAATAAAAAGCTGTAGGAAGAAAGGCAGCCCCAGGGCAGAAAGAGCCCTGGGATGAAGTTCCGCTCAGCCCACCATGGAGTAGCTCTGAGACTTGGCGCCAGTTGCTTGGCCTTTCTATGGCTCAGTTGCCTCACCTCTAAAATGCGAAGATTGGTCTACGTGGTCTCTTAGGGCCCTTCTTATTCCAAAATTTAAGGGTTCTGTATTAAGCTACATGATCTTGAGGTCTCACCAAGCACTTAGCTTATGGTCAGCTGAGCCTGCTGGTTGGCTCCTGTGGTTCTGAACTTTATGCCGATGAGACTGGTAACGGCCACTGGGCTCTCATTTTGTACCTGGCACTGCACTTGACATGCTTTAATTCTCCCAACATTCCCCTTTGAAATCAGTGTCATTGTTATCCTCAGTGTATGGAAGAGAAGATAGGCGCCTATAAAGGGGAAGTGTCTTACCCAAGGTCATACAGCTGGTGGAGCTGGGATTGACATTCAGGCGGCACAGCTCCAGAGCCCGTTTTGTCTCTGGGAGAGCAGAGAGCAGTCTTGGTGCAGCCAGAAAAGGGAAGGAGGGAAGGGCCAACTGACTTCCCTGCTGGAAACACTCCCTCTTAAGTTCACTGGGCAGATTTGGGTCTTGGTTATTTTGTCCCTGTTTTCTATCCCACCTGTAGCCCCATCTCCTATCCTTTCTTCGTCCAGAATGACAAACAACAGCTAACTAGTGATGGAAATAGGCCAAATATGAGGTTCCTTGGAGAGCATTTGAGAAGCATAGCTAGGATAAAAGACATTTAAGTAAATCTAAGTACTCTGTAACTTTCTGAGATGATTTCAGGGGCTCCTTGCTGCCTGTGGGTTTTCAGAGGTAGCCAGGAGGGCTTCCAGTCCATAGCCTTCCCTTTAGGTAGGGTGCGATTTGGCCTAATTAAGAGAACTTAGGGATTTCAAGTCATCATCAGCCTTGGTCCTTGTGGTGGGAGCTGATTTGGCTTGAAGAACACTCACCTCCTGGGGCTCCCAGCTGAACTTTGGGATTGAGGCCAGAAATAGCTGTGACTGCCCAGAGATGTCCCTGAGGACTGGCCCCTGTCCTTGCTACCGGGGCTCACTGGGCCTGCCCCTCTGAACATCTGGGCTTTGGAAGCTTCGTTCCGACCTTCTGTTTTGCTGTCCCCTGAATCTTCTGATTTCTCGCACATCTTTCCTGCCCGTAAGTCCACGATCCACCCCCAAATAGGAATGTTGTTTCTTTTCTTGCCTTGCTTCCTCCAGACAGCTAATTTTGGTCTCCATCAGAAATGCTGGTGAAAGCCTCCTTGGGCTTTATATTTTATACTCTGCTTGTTTCTAGGAGAGGGAAAAAGAGTTAGCTTTTTATGGCCTTTTAGTCCATATGGTTTCTTGTCATTTTGCTCTGAAGGGAGCTGGAACGATGCCAGCCTTGGAAGGCTGGGAGGGTCCTGGGATTGGGGTCAGAGATTCAAGTTGCAGGTGTACTCCTGGGAGGCAGGTTTCTGATCTCTGCCTGACCTGCGTGCTCCTTTTTCTCAGATGTGAATGTGGACCAACCAGATGAGAAATCAATCATTACCTATGTGGCTACTTACTACCACTACTTCTCCAAGATGAAGGCCCTGGCCGTGGAAGGCAAAAGAATTGGGAAGGTACTCTTCCCTTGGACAGTAGGCGTTAAAGGCCCGAGGAGGCCTAGCCCAGGGGCCTTACTCCCCTCACGCAGGGGCAGGGTGGCACTGCGGGACTGGGCCAGGGAGCCCGTGGGCAGGACCCCATGTCGCTGTCTCACAGGTGCTGGACTACGCCATGGAGGCAGAACGCCTGGTGGAGAAATATGAGTCCCTGGCCTCAGAGCTGCTGCAGTGGATCGAGCAAACGATCGTGACCCTCAATGACCGGCAGCTGGCCAACTCCCTGAGTGGGGTCCAGAACCAGCTGCAGTCTTTCAATTCCTACCGCACGGTGGAGAAGCCGCCCAAGTAGGTAACCCCTGGGCCACACCATGCCTCACTGGGCCGCAGCAGGCCTGCCCTGAGCTGTGCTCACAGGAAAGGAAGCCTAAGTTAGGGCGGCCCTTCAGGAGGGCGTTCTGACAGTACAGAAATGCAGTGGAGGCTCATTTCCCTCGGCTCCAAGTGCCAGAAGCAGTTCCCAAATACATTTTTTAAATGATTATTCGTTAAAAAAAAAAAAGTCATGCTGTGGAAATGATTGCTATGGTATGTAAAGGTAGTGCAATCCGCTCAGATAAGATCACCAGTCAGGGTCCCAGGAACCTAGTCCCAGCTCAGGGACAGAGTCAGGAGATTGGACCTACAGACAACGTAGGAGTGTAGCCAATAACTTGCACATTGCAAAATTTCTTATCATTTATATATTTTAGCAATGAACTGTTTGCAAGTGTGGAACTGCTGCTAGGCAGGTCTGTACAGTACATGGTAAAACGTCTGTTTTCCTATTATTGAGCTCTTTTGGAGTTAATATGTTTCAGCTCCAAAAGTAATATTAACCCAGAAAACATCTGTTTCTGTATATTTGGGGGAATGATTTGACCCAGAAAGTCCTTTTCTGGGCATTGAACAAAGATGTAGCTTCAAGGATGTTCACTGTGACCTTTGTAAAGAAAAATAAGTCACGGGATAGCCACTGACAATAATGCTGAAGAAATGAATTTATTGACATGAACATTTGTCATGTTCATGACAAATAAGTGAAGAAGCAGTTTACGAGTTATTTTGGACAGCGGAGAATAAAGGGCTCAGCATCCGGGTTCGAAGTGCCTGAGTTCCAGTCCTGGCTCTGTCACTTAGTGGTGATGAGTCGCCAGCCTCTCTCTGCCTCAGTTTTCTCATCTGGCAAAAGGGGGTAATAAGAGAATCTGGCTAACAGTGAGAACTAAAAGAGTGAATACGCGTAAAGCTCTGAGACCAGGGCCTGGATCACAGTGAGCGAGTCCTTGACAAATGACAGCTATGGTTATGAGAAAATCCCATCCGTGTAAAACAAAAATGAAGTATGTTAATGGCAAAGGGTAACAGTGGTCGTTTCTGTGTAGTTTTTCTCTTGTTTTAAAATTACGTTCTTTTGATTTGCAAGTATTTTCTGGCTTTCATGCAAAGAACATGAAAAGAAAAAACAACACAGGACCCTTCATTTTGAAACGGAGAGTCCCTATGTCCCTAGTAGTCTTTGTCTCTGACCCTGACCTGGCCTCCTGTCTCAGATTCACAGAGAAAGGGAACTTGGAAGTACTGCTGTTCACCATCCAGAGCAAGCTGCGGGCCAACAATCAGAAGGTCTACACGCCCCGTGAGGGTCGGCTCATCTCTGACATCAACAAGGTCCACAGCCTCCCTTCCTGTCCCACAGGCGTCCCACCCTTGGCAGTGGCCCCTGCTCCCCCAACTTGACCACCCCTCCCTGGTGCAGACGAGACTCACACCCTCTCGTACGTCCTGCACATCCCCCTTCCTCCTCCATCTGCCTCTCCAAGTGAGTTCACATAATAATTACACCCCAGTCCCTTATCCTGTTCAGCCTGTCCCCGATTCACTTTCCCTACTTTAACTGTTTTCACAGACAGCATAAGATTCATAAAAAGTAATAGGGTTCACCCACAGTCCCCCCAACCACAAACAAATCCAGTGGTTTCCATTGTTCCCTGTTCCCCTCTGGACCTTAGCCATAAGCAGGCATAGTTTGCACGTGGCTCCACAGCACTCGCCCCCGTTTCTCATACTTCCATGCGCAGGCGTCTACTGACCGCATTCCACAGATCCACCAGGCCACGCTTCCCTGGGACTCACCATGTGCCGCCAGCCCCTGTGACCCCTCCCCACCCTCACTTCCTGAGCCCTGGCCCTTTAGCACTAATCCTATCCCCTCTTTGCAGGCCTGGGAGCGGCTGGAGAAGGCGGAGCACGAGCGTGAGCTGGCCCTGCGCACCGAGCTGATCCGCCAGGAGAAGCTGGAACAGCTGGCCGCCCGCTTTGATCGCAAGGCTGCCATGAGAGAGACCTGGCTTAGCGAGAACCAGCGCCTCGTGTCCCAGGTAGAACACGAGGGGTTCTTGGCCCGTCTAGGCTGGTGGGGGAAAACACGGGAGAGAGCATGGTGGATAAGGACCCTGCTATGTGAGAAGCTAATGAAACAAGAAATCCATCCTGCAGATAAAAAGACCAAGGATCCCAGAAACCAGGGGCCAAAGGCTTGACAGGAGAAAGGGATAGTGAGACAGGACGGGCTGGGATACAGAGGAAACTTAGGGCCACCTCATGGGGTTGGCATCTTGCAGCAGAGGTAATCTGGAGGGCAGAGGAGTCCAGCAGAGATGGTGTCTCTGAGCTCCCGAACCTGCCCTCCCCTTCCCTGTGCCCCAGGACAACTTTGGGCTGGAGCTGGCAGCAGTGGAGGCGGCGGTGCGGAAGCACGAAGCCATCGAGACGGACATCGTGGCCTACAGTGGCCGCGTGCAGGCTGTAGACGCCGTGGCCGCAGAGCTGGCCGCCGAGCGCTACCACGACATCAAGCGCATTGCGGCACGGCAGCACAATGTGGCCCGGCTCTGGGACTTCCTGCGGCAGATGGTGGCCGCCCGGCGGGAGCGGCTCCTCATCAACCTGGAGCTGCAGAAGGTGCTTCAGGACCTGCTGTACCTCATGGACTGGATGGGAGAGATGAAGGTACCAGTGGGCCGTGTGTGGTGCGCTTCAGACGGTCAGGGCCGCGGGGATACGGCTGGGGGTACACGTGCCCCCTTGCTCAGCTGATCTTTGTCCAGCATGTTCCAGTGCAGGCCCCGTCCCCAGTTCAGATGAACAGAGCAGACAGGCCCCTGTCCTCCTGGGGCTCACATGCTAGTGGGAGGAGGCCGATGATGAAACCATGACCTATCAACAAACAAAATAGCCGGTGGACATAAAACCTATGAGGAAACCGGAGCAGGGCCATAGGCCTCACGGGGAAAATGCCATTCAAGCTGAGCGCAGGATAACGCAAGGAGCCAGCACAGGGAGATCTGAGGAGAGCACATTCCAGGCAGAAGGAACAGCTAGGCAAAGGCCCCAGGCCTGCACAGTGCGGCATGCTTGGCATGAGAGGGAGGGCCAGGGGGACCGTAAGCACGGGGAGGGGCAGGGAATGAGACAATGGAGGCAGCGGCAGCTCACTTAGGGCCTGACCAGCCTCGTCAAGGAGTTTGGATTTTATTCAAAGTAAAATGGAGCCTCGAAAGTGATTAGAAGGCCTTGGAAAGGGGAGACACGATTCTGCCTTATTTTTTTAGAAAGGTCACTTTGACTACTATGTAAAGAAGGAACGTGGGCAGCCGGAGTGGGAGCCAGGAAACCCGGTAGAGGCTACTGTGGTGATTTAGGCGAGAGGTGGGAATAAGGACGGGTCTGGAGAGACGCTGAAGACTGCTGGGGTGCCGGGGACCGAGCCATGACAATAGGAGGATGGTGATAATTCTGGGGCTGAGAAGATGAGTCAGAGCAGAGATTCCAGGAGCAGGATTTAGTAAAACGGTTTCCACAGAGGGGAAAGGGAATACAAAGAAGTCGGGATGCCAGGACAGAACTGGGGTGTCACTATGTGTGTGAAGGAGGACTACCAGACAGGAGCAGGTGTGTTTACCTGGGTGTGACACCTGAAGCCGCCCAGAGAGGTCAGGAGGTGCAGGTGATCCAGGAAGACGGAGCGAGGTTAGCAGATGTGTGTGTGGTGGGGCTGGAAGAGGCCTGGCCAGAGGGAGCTGGGCGGCTCTCAGATGGCATGGGCGTGCCACGTGTGCCTGGCAGGGCCGGCTGCAGTCTCAGGACCTGGGCAAGCATCTGGCTGGAGTGGAGGACCTGCTGCAGCTACACGAGCTGGTGGAAGCGGACATCGCTGTGCAGGCTGAGAGGGTGCGGGCTGTCAGTGCCTCTGCCCTGCGCTTCTGTGACCCAGGAAAAGGTGACATCTGGGGGAAGGAACTAGAAAAGGGAGGGGCCAGGAAGGAGAATATTAAGAGCTGGAACAGCAGAGGCTGGGAAAACCTGGGGGGGACAAGAAGGATGATGGGTGGATGGTGGGTGACAAAACTAGGGAGGGAGGCCTAAGAGAATAGGGTGGGGGGATTCATAACCACAGATGGATGTGGGGGCAGCGGGAGGGCGGGGTTACAGCCCTGGACCCTCCACCATGACTTTTTCAGAATACAAACCATGCGACCCACAGCTGGTGTCAGAGCGGGTGGCCACTCTGGAGCAGAGCTACGAGGCACTGTGCGAGTTGGCCGCAGCCAGGCGGGCCCGTCTGGAGGAGTCCCGGCGCCTCTGGCGGTTCCTCTGGGAGGTGGGCGAGACCGAGGCCTGGGTGCGGGAGCAGCAGCACTTGTTGGCTTCAGCCGACACTGGCCGGGACCTGACTGGCGTCCTCCGCCTGCTCAACAAGCACACAGCCCTGCGAGACGAGATGAGTGGCCGGCTGGGACCCTTGAAGCTCACCCTGGAGCAGGGTCAGCAGTTAGTTGCCGAGGGCCACCCTGGGGCAGACCAGGCCGCTGCCCGCGCTGCAGAGCTCCAGGCCCAGTGGGAACAGCTGGAGGCTCTGGCGGAGGAGCGTGCCCAGCGGCTCGCCCAGGCCGCCAGCCTCTACCAGTTCCAGGCAGATGCAAATGACATGGAGGCCTGGCTGGTGGATGCACTGCGCCTGGTGTCCAGTCCCGAGCTGGGGCACGATGAGTTCTCCACGCAGGCCCTGGCCCGGCAGCATCGGGCCCTGGAGGAGGAGATCCGAGGGCACCGGCCAACACTGGATGCCCTGAGGGATCAGGCCTTGGCCCTGCCTCCCGCACTGAGCCACACACCCGAGGTGCAGGGGAGGGTGCCCACCCTGGAGCGCCACTACGAGGAGCTGCAGGCCCGGGCAGGAGAGCGAGCCCGGGCCCTGGAGGCGGCCCTGGCTCGCTACACCATGCTCAGCGAGGCTGGGGCCTGTGGGCTGTGGGTGGAGGAGAAGGAGCAGTGGCTGAACGGGCTTACCCTGCCTGAGCGCCTGGAGGACCTGGAAGTCGTGCAGCAAAGGTAGGCCCCCTGCAGGCTCCCTCTGGAATTACCCTGTGAGTTGGGGGCCAGTGTGTGAGATGGCATGTCCTGCCCTGAACTGCCGGCTCTTGCTGTATCCCTTTGAATCTGTTTTTTCTTTTAATGAGAAATGCTAAACATACTCAAAAGTAGAAAACATTATGTAACAAACTCCTGTATACCCATCACCTGGGTTCAATGATTGTCCATATCTTGCTCTGTTTGATTAATTTTCCATTTCAAAAGCAAATCCCCAGCATTATCATTTCATCTCTACATTCTCCAGGATGCATCCTTCAAGAAATATAAGGAAGTATTCTTAAATATAGTAAATTACTTTTTAATTGTGTGTGAACTTAAAATAGCTAAGGCTTTGAAATTATAAACCTTTAATTTTTTTTATTTTTTTTAGCTGAGCCATCCTGCCACCTGTTGGCAGCTCAGTGGCAGCTCAGCTCGGGCCGGGAATCAAACCAGCGACTCTGTTGCTCAGAGCTCGCACTCTTGAGTGAGCTCTTAACCAACTGGTTAAGCCGGCCCTGAAGTTATAAACCTTTTAGATAGACGCTGACTGACCTCTCATGAAATAGCTTTTTTTACAGAATAATAAGTCTTAAAATCATTTAGAAAGGACATTTTTCTTATAGAACCACAATATCTTTATCGCATAGAACAAAATTAGTAATTCCTTACTATTATCTACTATTCAATCTATAGTCAAATCTCCTGAAAGATTTTTACTTATTTATTTTTTAGTTTTCAAGCTATCCCATGATGGGTTGGTAAACTATGACCGTTTGGCCAAATCTAGCTTGCAGTCTGTTTTTATAAATAAAGCTTTATTGAAACAGAGCCACACACATTCATTTACATATTATCCTGTTGCTGCTTTTGCACTGAGATAGCAGAGCTGGATACTAGTGACAAAGACCATATGACCCACAATGCCTAAAATATTTACTACCTGGCCCTTTACAGAAAGCATTTGCAGACTGCTCTATGAGAATGTAAAATGTTCCTGGGAGAAGTTATCACTTAAATATTTTTGATTATCAATTCACTTTAACACATATTAGTAGGATAGGAGCCAGGTAGGCAGCTAAGGGGTAAGTCCCGAGAAGAATAAGAGAAATTCTGATAAAAGTGGGGCCCTGTGCCAGAATTAGTTGACTCATTGTGCAGCTGTTCCTGACCTTTAACTTTCACATCTTTTTGAGCAACTCTACAGATGATAGTTTTTCTACTTGTTTGGGGAGAGTTGGGGGCTCCCCCTTGACCCACAAGTACTATGAGCCTTGTAGGAAAGAGGTGCAGAGGCTCCTATAAATAAGCCTCGTGGGGTCGGACAGGAGTTCTCATGGGTGTCTGGGGAGGTGGGCAGGTGCCTCACGGCCTCCTGCCGTTCATGTCCAGCTCTTCCACCCCCTCAGGTTCGAGACCCTGGAGCCCGAAATGAACGCTCTTGCAGCACGAGTTACTGCCGTGAATGACATCGCAGAGCAGTTGCTGAAGGCCAACCCTCCGGGCAAGGACAGCATTGTCAACACCCAGAAGCAGCTCAACCACAGGTGGGTTGGGGAAGGCAGGACTAGAGAGAGGGCGCAGCAGATGGGGACGGCAACTGGAAGAGAGTTCTGTAGGGCATAGAGCGGAGGCAAGAACCGAGGAAGGAGGGTGGTCTGGAATGTGTTGGGGGCAGGGTATAAAGAAAGATGAAAGGGGGTAAAAAAAAAAAAATCTGAAGAGGCCGGGGCCTGGACAGGGAGCAATCAAGAAGGAGACGAGAGAGGATGAAGCAGGTGGTGGAATATACCAAGGGTGAGAGACAGGGAAGAAGCTTCTGGATGTGCCTGGACAAGGTGAGGAAGCTGAGCAACTCGACACCAGACCCTCCTCCTCTTGTCAGGTGGCAGCAGTTTCGGTCCCTGGCAGATGGCAAGAAGGCAGCTCTGACATCAGCCCTGAGTATCCAGAACTACCATTTAGAGTGCACAGAGACCCAGGCCTGGATGAGAGAGAAGACCAAGGTCATCGAGTCCACCCAGGGCCTGGGCAATGACCTTGCTGGGGTCCTGGCCCTGCAGCGTAAGCTGGCTGGCACGGAGCGGGACCTGGAGGCCATCGCCGCACGGGTGGGTGAACTGACTCGTGAGGCAAATGCCCTGGCTGCTGGCCACCCAGCCCAAGCCCCTGCCATCAAGTCCCGGCTTGGAGAGGTGCAAGCCGGCTGGGAAGACCTCAGGGCCACCATGCGACGTCGAGAGGAGTCGCTGGGTGAGGCGCGGCGGCTGCAGGACTTCCTGCGCAGCTTGGATGACTTCCAGGCTTGGCTAGGTCGCACGCAGACCGCTGTGGCTTCTGAAGAAGGGCCAGCCACCCTGCCTGAGGCAGAGGCCCTCCTGGCCCAACATGCAGCCCTGCGGGGAGAGGTGGAGCGGGCGCAGAGCGAGTACAGCCGTCTGCGGGCCTTGGGTGAGGAGGTGACCCGGGACCAGGCCGATACCCAGTGCCTCTTCCTACGACAGCGACTGGAAGCCTTGGGAACCGGCTGGGAGGAGCTGGGCCGCATGTGGGAAAGCCGGCAAGGCCGTCTGGCCCAGGCCCATGGCTTCCAGGGCTTCCTGCGGGATGCTCGCCAGGCCGAGGGCGTGCTTAGCAGCCAGGTGAGAGCCCAGGGCACAAAGTCCCAACCACGACCATGGGGACTGTGAAGGAGAATGGTGGGTGGGAAGAACGCAGCAGGTAGGGTAGTTGAGGCAACAGGAAGGGCAGGGAAAACGTGTTAGAAAAATATGAAAGTGAAAAAAAAAAAAAGATGTAAACATACCAAAACTGATATAAACTGGCTTGTAGTATAATTATCAAAGAAATTGAATCAATAGCTAGAAATAAGATGGAACAGGATTTGGACTGTTCCACCCTAGCTCCCGTCTCCTTCGTATAACTTTCTGAGACTCAGTATAATCAGGCACCACCCGCCCCATCTTCAGAGTTGGATGGTCTACCCTGCCCGTCCCTGGTTGGCCCCCATGTCTCAGATGTGCCCTTTTGGTAGATCCCTTCTGAGAGGCTGAATTATGCTGTGAGACGTGAGCTTGCCACCTCCCATTCCACACAGGAATATGTTTTGTCGCACACGGAGATGCCGGGAACACTCCAGGCTGCTGATGCCACCATAAAAAAACTGGAAGACTTCATGAGCACCATGGAGGCCAACGGGGAGCGGATCCGTGGGCTCCTGGAGGCCGGGCGCCAGCTGGTGTCTGAGGGCAACATCCATGCAGAGAAGATCCGAGAGAAGGCAGACTCCATTGAGAGGAGGTATGCTGGGGACAGCGGGCAAATGTGGGGCCTGAGAGGGAAACAGTGAAAACAAGATGGCCTCAAAGATGGGGAACGTGGCAATCAGATTGGTAGATGGGGGTGGGGAGCTGACAGAAAGCAGAGGAGGAAGAACCCAGTGGTCAAAGAGGGCCTAAGCTATGGGCTAGGAAGTTCCACCTCCCCCACACTAGGGTGAAATGAAGTCTACCAGGATGGCTGGACGCTGGGCATAGGATTCGTGGGTTGTCTTTTCGTGCTCCCAGAAGGCACTATCTCCATAGGAGGAGAACTGAAGGCTTCTAGTTGAGTTAGAAGGTCATAACCTTTTCAGAGCAAGTTCAAGAGTTTCACAAGGAGCTGTTGTTACAGACACAGGAAGAATCAAGAAGCGGTGCAGCAGCTTTTGGGCCGTCTTCGGGAAAACCGAGAGCAGCAGCATTTCTTACAAGATTGTCATGAGGTGAGGCTCTAAGTGTCCCCACATCCCCTCCGACATTCCCTAGCCACCCCCTTCCCACAAGGCTCTGGCCCTTCGAGCCTAGAATCAGTCCACTGTAGTGTCTGCTGAGCATGCGAACCCCTGACAGCTTCTCCCCACACCCGCCACTCTTTTTGGCTCACCTTCCCCCACTTTATGCCTCACGCGTCCCCTCCCTCTGAAATATACTCTGCCTTCCTCCATGCCTGCTCTGTGTCTGGTCCAGCTGAAACTCTGGATTGACGAGAAGATGCTGACAGCCCAGGACGTGTCCTATGACGAGGCCCGCAACCTGCACACCAAGTGGCAGAAGCACCAGGCGTTCATGGCTGAGCTGGCTGCCAACAAGGACTGGCTGGATAAAGTAGACAAGGTGAGCGGTGTGACAGGAGCAGCAAGAAGGGAACCTGTGGGGGCTCCTCTGGGGAGGGTCCTGGCCGCCGTGCAGGAGAGGATCCTAGCTTCAGGACATGGCTATTTCAGATTTAGAGGGTGCGGGACCTCCCGTGCCAAACCTTCATGGTGGAAACTTATGGTCTGAGGGACAAATGTCTCAGGTCTATGGGACAGTGACTCCAGAACTTAAAGAAAGTACGGATTAGTAGGGAGCCAGACTGCAGTTTTGGGTCAGTACAATAACTAGTCCTGGGCCCAGGGCAGGATGACACTCTTCAGCAGGGGTCAGAACACTTCTATAAAGGGCCAGATGGTAAATATTTTAGGCTTTGCAGGCCATACAGTTTCTGCTGTGACTGCTGAACTCTGCTACTGTAGTGCAAAAGCAACCATGGAGAGTACGTACATGAATGAATGTAGCTGTGTTCCAATAAAACTTTATTTATAAAAACAGGCAGTGGGCCACATTTGGCCCACGGGCCGCAGTTTGCCAACCCTTGCTTTTGAGTCTTGCTGTTCCTGGTATTTGGTCCCCCACCCAGCTCTTCCTCAAGAGCTGAGCACAGGTAAAACTTCTTTTCTACTCAGCAAGTATTCCTGTACAACATTATATGTGCTCAGCACTCTGCTAGGTGCTGCAAAGTACATAAAAAAGACACCTCCCTTCTCTCAGGGGCATAATGGTTGGGAAGAAGAGGACAGCAGTGTATATTCAGTTTCCATTTGTTCAGCAAATATTTACTTGGTGCTACTATGTGCGAAGTATTAGGCACTGAATGGGAACAAAGGTGATTCCATTGCGGGCTCGGCCCTCAAGAAATGACACAGTCGTCAGGGTAGGAGACATATACACAACTAGATAAATTAAATCCAAAGCAGAATATGACGAGTGCAGTAAGAGAGAACCCCGTAAAGCCTGAGCACTGAGGACAAGCGCTGTGGGAATCCCAGAAGCTAGAGCCTCCAGGACAGTCCGTGAAGGATCAGTAGAATTTGGACAAGCAGAAATACTGGAGGAAAGACGTTTCTAGGTAGAGAAAACAGTGCGAACAGGAAGCCAGAGGTGTGGACGTGGTGGGGTGCCTGCCTGTATGGGAGCAGGGGGTGAGTCAGCCTGGCAGGAACAGAGAATGCATGCGGGGCCCCCATGGAAGAAAAGCCTTCTGGGCTAGGTTGTGATCAAAGCCCTGGTGACCACGTAAGGACTGTGAGTCAAAGTGTGGGTTGTGCTGAAGGTTTGTGAAGTTACCCAAGCTGTGTTAGACTCTAATGCTCTTCATCCTGGCAGCCACATGTCTTGCTTTGTGTTCCTCTAGAACAGCAGTTCTCAACCTGTGGGTCGCGACCCCTTTGGGGGTCGAACGACCCTTTCACGGGGGTTGCCTAAGACCATCGGAAAACAAAAAGATATTTACATTACGCTTCATAACAGTAGCAAAATTACAGCTATAGAGTAGCAACGAACATAATTTTATGGTTGGGGGTCACCACAACATGAGGAACTGTATTAAGGGGTCGCGGCATTCGGAAGGTTGAGAACCGCTGCTCTAGAAGTAGACCCTGAAACAAGGCTTCCGGGGCAGGTCACTGAAATGGGAGGTGATCACAGGAAATACCAGCAGGGATGCGGGAACATGAGACGGGGCAGGGAAGGTAGTCAGTAAAGGGTTCACTGCCATGCCAGTTACTGCAGTGGGCAACTGGGGCTCAGTCCTAATAGGGCACCCTGAGAAATGGTGTTGAGCATTAGAGTTATCCCAACCAAAGCACAAGGGTGCTGACTATTTGTCTGTCACTGGTTCTGTGGGCAGTAACTCCCTGGCACGTCCAGCCTGCCTTGAAAGCAAGTCAGGAGATCATGCTTCCCTCACCTGCCCAGAAACCAAAGTCCTCCAGCAGAAAGGCTGGGAATGAGGAGACAGGTAAGACTCACTTGCCATAGGTCAGGTGAGTGGCGAGGAGCTGAGAAACATGAAATGATAGCAAATAACACGAGACCTCACGCCATATAACACTAGAAACACAAGCACGAGAGAACTCAAAATAGGAAAGTTCGCAGTAGCTTCTTAGTTGAAATGAGGTTTGAGCTGGACCTTGAAAGGAGGAGTAGGGTTTGATCAGCAGCGAGGTAGGGAAGTTTCAAACCTTTGCGAAGAGGATGTTAAGGAGAACTCAACCACAACTTGGAATTCTTTCCCACACTTCAGATCTCTACTGCCCTTTAGGTCTCTGGCCTGTCAAGTCCAGTGGTGTCTAATTCTGACCCTCACACTTCTTTGTCCCACCACCCAGGAAGGGCGAGAGCTGAGCCTCGAGAAGCCAGAGCTGAAAGCTCTGGTGTCGGAGAAGCTAGAGGATCTGCACAAGCGCTGGGACGAGCTGGAGACCACCACCCAGGCCAAGGCCCGCAGCCTGTTTGATGCCAACCGAGCCGAGCTGTTTGCCCAGAGCTGCTCCGCCCTGGAGAGCTGGCTACTGAGCCTGCAGGCCCAGCTGCACTCCGACGACTATGGCAAGGACCTCACCAGTGTCAACATTCTGCTCAAGAAGCAGCAGGTGCATGGCGGGTGGGGGAGGCTTTGATGGGAGTGGTGAACAGCAGAAGAGAGAAGGAGGGAACCCGTAGCTCTTGAGATTGGGGAGGCCATTCTCAGCCCTCACAGACATTTTTCCTGGCATTTCTCAAGGTAATTCCCATGGGCCACTAGATCAGAATTTCTGGCAGGGTGTATCAGTTAGCGTCAAGTCAGGAGACAGAAATCACACACTAACTTGAACAAGGAAACTTTAGTGAAAAGGAGTATTAATTACTAAAAGGTGGTTAACTACCACAGGGAAAAAGAGAACTTCAAAACAGGGGTCAGAAAACATTTTTCTGTAAAAAGCCAGACAGTAAATATTTTGGGCTTTATGGTTATAAAGTCTCTGTCAAAACGATTCAACGCTGTCCTTGTATGGTAAAAGCAGCCACAGTCAATATGTAAAATAATTCTGTGGCTGTGTGCCAATAAAACCTTATTTACAAAAAAAAAAAAACAAAAAACGGGCAGGGACTGGATTTCCTGATCCCTGCTCTAAAGAATACAGGAATAAGGGCCGGCCGAATGGCTCAGTTGGTTAAGAGCTCGCTCAAGAGTTTGAGCTCTGAGCAACAGCGGTTCGAGGCCAGCCCGAGCTGAGCAGCCGCTAAGCTGCCAATAGGTAGCAGGATGGCTCAGCTAAAAAAAAAAAAAACAGGAATAGCAAATGTAGGGAGCTGCTATACCTCTAGAGCTGAGGAGGGGTGCCCATGGAAGGAAAAAGATGCCCTCCCCCCACCCCTCAGACCTTGTTGGAGAGGGCAGAAGCCAACTGAGAGCATAAAAATTTGCTGGGGTATCATGGACCAGAGCAGGTCTGAAGCTGGCAGGCCAAGGCTGGCCAGCAGGAAGTTGCCATTGGGATACCAGCAAAACTTGCTGGAGGGTGAGAGCCACTTGGGTCGCCTCACACCATGGGCAGCTTTGCTGTAAGAGCAAGAAGAAAGCTGCACTGGAACCTTAATAGAAACCCCTTCCTCTCCTGTGCACTGTGATGTCTCTCCAACGCCCTGTACTGACAAGGCCTACCATTGCACCAGCTGGCAAAGGAGAAAGGTTTACAGGGTCCAGTTCCAACGTCTCAAAACAGACAAAGATGGATTTGGAACTGAGATGGATTTGGGACTGAGGCCATAAATTGCTAACTGGCATGGTTAACATGCCTTCCCCGCCCCCAGAATCTTACGTATATTAAAGTTTGAGATCCACCGATCTAACTTGAACAAGGAGGAGATAGTTTCCCTGGGGTGAGTCCCGGGATAAGAAATCATGATGGACATGATATTGACTAGTGTCTCCTCTGAGTTTGATGACGGAAGCGCAGTGATAACATCCTCTTCTGGTTGTACAGATGCTGGAACGGGAGATGGCTGTGCGGGAGAAGGAAGTGGAGGCCATCCAGGCCCAGGCGAAAGCACTGGCCCAGGAAGACCAGGGTGCAGGGGAGGTGGAGAGGACCTCGAGGGCCGTGGAGCAGAAGTTCAGGGCCCTGTGCCAGCCCATGAAGGAGCGCTGCCAGCGCCTGCAAGCCTCTCGAGAGCAGCACCAGTTCCACAGGGACGTGGAGGACGAGATCGTGAGTCACTAGGATTCGGGATGGGGTAGAGTCGTCACCATGGCAAAGTGCTTGCTGCCTTGTGCTGGGAAGATGCCAGCAGTGCTGTTTTCTCTTCCCTTTGCCATTGAAAATCAACCCTCCAGGGACACTTGGGGGTGCCCTCTATCTAGGTCCCTTTACCCCAGAATCAGACATGACCATTTCCTGTACACACACCAGGATCCCTAGAAAACCTGCCCCCATTATCCAACCCCTAGCTCTTACTTTGCCCTCCGGACCTCCACTGACCCTCTCTTTCTCATCCAGTTGTGGGTGACAGAGCGGCTACCCATGGCTAGCTCCAGGGAACATGGCAAGGACCTGCCCAGTGTCCAGCTCCTCATGAAGAAAAACCAGGTGAGGCAGAGACTAAAGGCAAAAGAAAAGGTCCCAAGAGCCTCTCCAGACATGGAAGTTTTTTTTCTTTTTAAGACCTGAGGTTTCTCTGGCTCCCTCTCAAAACTGCATGGAATCCTAGGCTTCAGTGGTTGGCCTTTCCTCAACACGGGAGGGCGGGTTCCCGTGGTAGGAGATTATGGGGATCCAAGGGGCTTTACCATCACATCCCTGGGCCAGAAGGGAGGGGAAGTAAAATGATTCAGGAAGAAAGAGAAGCAGGAATATGCAGGGGCATAATATTGAATAGGTGTAAGGGGAGGCGGGGATGAAGGGGTTCCTTGGCCAGCCTTCCGATGTTTCCTCTTCTGTTGCCGGGGATAGACCCTGCAGAAGGAGATACAGGGCCACGAGCCACGGATTGCAGACCTAACAGAGCGGCAGCGTGCCCTGGGTGCGGTCGCAGCAGGCCCAGAGTTGGCCGAGCTGCAGGAAATGTGGAAACGCCTGAGCCACGAGCTGGAACTGCGAGCGAAGCGACTGGAGGAGGCCCTGCGGGCCCAGCAGTTCTACCGCGATGCCGCCGAGGCAGAGGCCTGGATGGGCGAGCAAGAGTTACACATGATGGGCCAAGAGAAAGCCAAGGTGAGAACCAGGGCAGAGCTCAGGCTGTGTGGCTTCTTCTTTCCTCCCTGTGACCCCCACTCCCTGATGCCCACTGGCCCGTCCCCCAGGATGAGCTGAGTGCCCAGGCCGAGGTGAAGAAACATCAGGTATTGGAGCAAGCCCTGGCCGACTACGCCCAGACCATCCATCAGCTAGCAGCCAGCAGCCAAGACATGATTGACCATGACCACCCAGAGAGGTGAGCACAGCGACAGCAAGTGGCTGAGCCCCTTGGGGAGAGGGGGGGCCAGTTCCCAGAAGGTGTGGGGATTGTGGAGCCTCTGTACTATGTGTGTACAGAACCATCTATTTAGAAAGCTGGAGGAGCAGGGACTTGGCAAGCAGTTGGGTGGCTCAGAGGGACAGGACTCTGCGAACAGGGTGGGGATCAGAGCAATGTAACCTAAGTCCTGCGGTGGTCCCCCGCCCTGCTGCACAGCACGAGGATATCCATCCGCCAAGCCCAGGTGGACAAGCTGTTCGCCAGCCTGAAGGAGCTGGCCGGGGAGCGGCGGGAGCGCCTACAGGAGCACTTGCGGTTGTGTCAGCTCCGCCGCGAGCTTGATGACCTGGAGCAGTGGATCCAGGAGCGCGAGGTGGTGGCAGCCTCCCACGAGCTGGGCCAGGACTATGAGCATGTGACGGTGAGTGCAGGGAGGACACCAGCCACAGGGTCAGCTCCTGGGAGAGGAGAGAACCCGCTGGGAGATTAGGCCTCGCTCTGGGCTGAACACCAAGGGGATGGGGTGGAAGACCAGGTGGAGCATGCACGAGCATGCACTGTCCTCCCGGGTTTGGAGGTATTTAATTAGAAGAATCTTGCAGGAAGGAGGATGTGGGTGGGGCTTCCCATAGAATTGGGCAAAAAGAAAACTACCAATCAGGCTTTTCCAACAGGATTCGACAGTATAGGGTATCCCTGTCTGAAGGCTAAAGGTCCCAAGTGCCCACATCACCTTTGCTGGGGGCCAGGGCTTCAGTCAATCCAAGGTCTCTGGGAACCTGCTTCATCTGCTCATGAACTGAGCTGAGCTGGAGAAACGTATTTCATTCAGCCCATGTAGCCCAGGGGAGAGAAGTAGGTCTCAGTTTGGGGTGAGTGGACTCTCCCCATTAGGTAGAGACCAAATCCACCAGTGTCACAGTGTTGTGCGTGCAACTGTTCCCTCCACCAGATGCTCCGGGACAAATTCCGAGAGTTCTCCCGGGACACAAGCACCATCGGTCAGGAGCGCGTGGATACTGCCAACTCATTGGCCAATGGGCTCATCACGGGGGGCCACGCCGCCCGGGCCACTGTGGCCGAGTGGAAGGACAGTCTCAACGAGGCCTGGGCCGACCTGCTTGAGCTGCTGGACACGCGGGGGCAGGTGCTGGCCGCCGCACACGAGCTGCAGCGCTTCCTGCATGGGGCACGCCAGGCCCTGGCACGGGTGCAGCACAAGCAGCAGCAGCTCCCGGACGGAACCGGCCGGGACCTCAACGCCGCTGAGGCCCTACAGCGCCGACATTGTGCCTTTGAGCATGACATCCAGGCCCTCAGCACCCAGGTCTGACCTGAGCATAGGAGGAAGGGGATGGCTTGGAGGAGACTTCGTGGGAAGTGGGTGAGGGGAAACGGGTGCTGAGGGGATGACATCCTCAGGAAGGCCACTTAGGGATGAGGTAGAATTGCTCCAGGTAAACATCACTGGCCAGAGGACATCTGGCCACTGCGTTCACACCTTTAATGACAAGCCTTCTCAAGGGCCCATGACATTTTCACATGGCCCCAATGGCTAGAAGATTCTTCATTTTGTGCTAAAAATCCACCTGTTGGTCCCACCTCTTGGTTAGAACTGATAAGCACAGATTCTTTCTACAATGGTTTAAACCCAGTTGGCCCCACCCAAGTCCCTTTTTCAGGCTGAAAAATCTCACTCTAGCAATCTTTGAGGTCCCTCACATTCTGGACAGGCCCCTGAAAGTCCAAGTGACTAATGACCCTTTCAAAGGGTTACCCCCCCCCACCCCAGGCTAAACCCGGCCCCCAGATGAGACCCAATAGGGCGGAATATGACAAGGCTTACTCTGGGCACCAGCCATCATCTTTCCCAGCCCCCGACCCTCTGCTGCTGCCCCTGTTTCTCTGGCTGGTAGACCCAGACAGAGGCCAGGACGAGCGAAGCTGAAGCTCCCCGGAGTCTCCAGCTCTGCCTGACTCTGACCTGGGGCCCTGCAGGTCCAGCAGGTCCAGGATGATGGCCACCGGCTCCAGAAGGCCTACGCCGGAGACAAGGCCGAGGAGATTGGCCGCCACATGCAGGCTGTGGCCGAGGCCTGGGCCCAGCTTCAGGGAAGCTCTGCCGCCCGCCGCCAGCTGCTGCTGGACACCACGGACAAGTTCCGCTTCTTCATGGCTGTCCGGGAGCTGATGCTGTGGATGGATGGGGTGAACGTGCAGATGGATGCCCAGGAGCGGCCCCGGTGAGGCCCATGGTGCCCCTGACCTATGGAGGTTGTGAGCCAGTGGCTGGGATAGGGTTGTGGGCAGTGGGTGATACGGTCTCTGTACCGCCAGGGATGTGTCCTCTGCAGACCTGGTCATCAAGAACCACCAGGGCATCAAGGCTGAGATAGAGGCCAGGGCCGATCGCTTCTCCTCTTGCATTGAGATGGGGCAGGGGCTGCTCGCCAGGAGCCACTACGCAGCTGAGGAGGTGGGCGAGGCCTGGGCACCGCTGGGTCACCCTCCCGGGGCGGGCCTTAATACTGATTTCTCCTCTGAGTCTTTCTGCTGCTTCTCGTTCTTTCTTTACAGAAACCTTTCACTCTCTCCCCCCTCAGTGCTGTTCAGGGGTTTGCCCATTCCATCTCCCCCCCAGAGCTATTGGGTCGTCGGAAAAGTCATGACGCATTTTTGCAACAAAAAAACAGAAAAAATACGTCATGACTTTTCCAACAACCCAATATACGCCTCTAGAATTCAGAAATCACTTAATTCCCCTGTGTGAGCCCCCCAGGAACCCTGAAAAGGCCCAGCTAGGTACTAACTCACATCCCCCCACCGCCTGCAGATCTCAGAGAAGCTGTCTCAGCTGCAGGCACGGCGCCAGGAGACAGCTGACAAGTGGCATGAGAGGATGGACTGGCTCCAGCTTGGTGAGCTGCTATGGGGACCAGGAAACTGGCTGAGAACAACCAGCCCTGGGAGGAGGGGTTGGAGCGGGGGGGGGTCTTATACCCTGTAGTTCCCAGAATAAGACCAAGAATCCTGGACATGGAATTCAAGGTGCCCACCCTTGGCACTGCCTGGCTCTGTCCTGTGCTCCTGCTTTGGGGCAGTAGCTTTCTGTGTCTCTGTTCTTGAAATGCTGTGGTTACTGTGCCCTGCCGTGCCCACTCTGACCTGCCATCTCCCTGTAACCACCCCCATCCCTGCAGTTTTGGAGGTGCTTGTGTTTGGAAGAGATGCAGGAATGGCAGAGGCCTGGTTATGCAGCCAGGAGCCACTGGTGCGAAGCGCCGAGCTGGGCTGCACAGTCGATGAAGTTGAGAGCCTCATCAAGCGGCACGAGGCCTTCCAGAAGTCCGCAGTGGCTTGGGAGGAGCGTTTCAGCGCGCTGGAGAAGCTCACTGCGGTGAGGGCCACAGGACCCCAGGAATGTCCCGGGGACCCATGCCGCTGCCCCAGGCCTGTGCTCACTGCTGCTTGAAGAAGACAGTTTTTCTCTTTCCACTGAGCCAAGTGCCATGTTGTCACCACAGCTTCAGGAGTCATCCGTTCCCGGGGTGACACTAAGAGACACCGTCTCCCCCATTGCTTCTAATCCCTACCTTCCTTTAGAATTATATTTTCCATTCTGTTTCATCGTACGTTTCACCTTCCCCCAACTCCCTGGTCCTCTTAAATGAACCCTTCCATGCTCTGACCTCAGAATTTTTTGACAGCTGGAGGAGCAGGAGAAAGAGCGGAAAAGACAGAGGGAGGAGGAGGAGCGGAGGAGACAGCCCCCTACTCCAGAGCCCGCAGCCACTCTGACCGAAGGGGTCCTGGTGGACAGGCAGACGGTTCCTGATGCTTCCTGGGACGGGTGAGAGCTGGGACACTTCGGGGAGGAGGAGGAAGCTGAGACTGAGCAACCTAAGGACTTGCTCTGTGTCACCTTCTGCTGTTTCAGAACCCACCCCCGGCTACCAGCGTCCACACAGCCAGCCAGCATTAACGGAGTCTGCACAGATGCAGAGTCCCCACAGGTGACCTCCGTTGCCCCGTGTGCCCCCATCAGAGTCTTAGACCCCCCTTGCACATCCTTTTACAGCTTCTTGTCCTGAGCAGGGCAGCTTCCCAGAAGGGCCTGGCAGTTCCTCCTAGAGATATGGGTGTTGATATATGGAGGGACAAGGAGGGGTAGATTGGTGGGGACACGGGGGACAGGAGAAGGCAGAGGCTCAAAGGAAACTTGGGGGTGGAAGGCCCAGCTCTTGGACGTCAAGCTTCATGACACCCAGGCTAGGTATCTGCCACCTCATCCTTTGACGCAGACACCGTTTTCCCCACAGGAGTCTGGCGCAGGGGATGAGGCCAACGGGCCACAGGGAGAGAGAGAGACCCGGCCACAGGGCTCGGCCCCTCCTGTCATGCCCCAGAGCAGGTCGTCCGAGTCAGCCCGGGTTGCCACCTTGCCCCCTCGAGGCCCAGAGCTTTCTGCCCAGGAACAGATGGAGGGAATGCTGTGCCGCAAACAGGAGATGGAGGCCTTCGGCAAGAAGGCCGCCAACAGGTACTGGGTCTGGCCACGCAGTGCCTGTGGCCTCTCTAGTCCCTGCCTTCTGAAGAGGCTGGCCTGGAACCTCTTCCTAGATAGAGGGGGGAGGGGTGCCCTGCATGAGGGGTGTCCTCTGGGAAAGGGGTAGGACCCAGGAGCAGAGTGAGGCCTCAGGGGAGGGCTAGGCTGGTCTGAAAACAATGGGCCTAAAGGCGAGAGTGGCACTGAAAGTCCTAGAACACCCAAGCTCTTCCCAGGGGTACCAGCCCCACAGAAACCGGTCACCTTGTCACCTGCACCGTGTCCCTCCCAGGTCATGGCAGAATGTGTACTGCGTCCTGCGGCGTGGGAGCCTTGGCTTTTACAAGGATGCGAAGGCAGCCAGCATGGGAGTGCCATACCATGGAGAAGTGCCTGTCAGCCTGGCCAGGGCCCAGGGCAGCGTCGCCTCTGATTATCGAAAGCGCAAACATGTTTTCAAGCTGGGGTAGGAATGGAACCGTGCCCTCACGATGCGAGGGGAAGTCAGAGCAATACAAGGTGAAAGGTAGCCATGAGCTTGGTCTGGAGGAATTAGAGTTACAGTGTCAAGCATTTGGGGACAGAGGTGTAGAGGAGGGAGAGGGGACAGGTCTGGTTGTGTTACCCTAAAGGGGAGTGGGGGCCTTGCAGCTCAGGCCTGATGTCTGTTGATGTCAAGCTGACAAATTATCCTAGAGGGGCTATCTGCAGGCGGGGTGCTGGCACTTCTGTGCCTCCAGGGGCCTCCCCCTGCCTACCAGCAAGCAGCCAGAGCAGGAGGCACTGCCTGGGATGGAAGTGAGCTCACCCTGGTCCTTCACAGCCAATCAGGATTTGCATAGTCCTGGGAATCGAGAACGTGCAGGACTGTCTGATGGTCTCTGAGGACCCCGCTGGCACGTTCTCCAGCCTGGCCTCTGGGTAGATCCCCAGCAGGAATCTGGCTGGTCCAGATTCTCAGCTCCGCCCTGAAGTTTCTTTTTCTTCCACAGCTTACAGGATGGAAAAGAATATTTATTCCAAGCCAAGGATGAGGTGAGCTGTCCCCCTTCTCCCCTCATGTCCCTGTCTCTGCGTTGCCATTCTAGAACCCTCCAGATATACATTTCCCTTCCTTCCCTCTCCTTTCTCTTTTCCTTAAGTAATCAGATAACCCACAGTGAGGCCAACTGGATGTTTGTGAAGGCCACACAAAAACATGTTCCCTATCTTACGGGTTCTTTTTTCTCTAATGAGACGAAATAGTCAAATCATATTTCTGCTGCCGCCTCTTGCACTTCTCCAGCTGCCTTAGCAGCGTCCCTGACGCTGACCAGTTGCCTTTCCATGTCCCCTGTAGGCAGAGATGAGCTCATGGCTGCGGGTGGTGAATGCAGCCATTGCCGCTGCGTCCTCTGCCTCTGGAGAGCCTGAAGAGCCAGCAGTGCCCAGTGCCACCCGGGGCATGACCCGGGCTATGACCATGCCCCCAGTATCGCCGGTCGGGGCTGAGGGGCCTGTGGTACTTCGCAGCAAGGATGGCAGAGAACGAGAGCGAGAAAAACGCTTCAGCTTCTTCAAGAAGAACAAGTAGTTGGGGGCGAGTCTCCCAGGCCAGCTCCCTCCCTCTGTTCAGGAAACTGCCAGGGACTGTCAACGGGGACCACCCTCTTGTCAGGACAACTGCCTGCTGCTAGGGTCTGTTGCCAAGGTCAACCCATCACCAGGAACTGTCTCTGGGGACAAGTCAGTGTTCCCAAGGGCAACCCTACTCTTCTGCTATTTAATTCCAGACTGGTGGTGGGACCCAGGCAACCCCCAATTCCACTCCCCGCCACTTGTTCCTTCTTCCCCCAGCCTTATGCCTCTGTCCCCACCACAGTGCGGACAGTGCCGCACCCTCAACATAGGCCATGTGGGGAATGGTGGCCCCTGCCTCAGGGTCATTCTCCCACCACAGCTAGGGCACACCGTCTGGTTCCTTGCCCCTGGGGACCAGCCAGGAACCTCTCAGAGCTGAAGCAGGACCTGGGGGCAAGACTGTCAGATGATGGAGTCAGAGATGCTGAAGCTCCCCCTTCCTGTCCTTCCTCATCCTCTGACTCGAGTGACCACTCCCATCTCCAGCGAGTCTCAATGGCTTCCAGGTGTGAGTTGTTCAGGGGCAACCACAGCCTTGAGTCTTGCCAAGGAGTGATTAAACAGCTCAGCTTCTCTTACTGCCTCTGGGTGTCTTTGCTTTCCTGACCACAAGACTCTCGGTGCCCATTTCTTCCCTCTGGCTCTGGTCTCCTGTGTATCAGGTTTTCACTTGGCCCCCAGCCTCCACGCCCTCGAAGAACCACATTATTTTGAGAGTCGCCCTACCTTGGTCTCATTCCCCCATGATAATGACCTTTGGTTTGCAAGGTTGACGAATGTCAAGCCTCTTTTTAGACCAAAGAAGTGTATCATGGGTCAGGATGATGTTAACGAGCAGTATTACATGTTAAAAAGCAGTGAACAACTACTTCCCTGGAGCACAGCTTTCTTCACTCTTGATTCTTTCAAGTTTCAAAAACCAAAGACTGAAGAGCATTGCCACAACCTAGTCTCAGCCCAACTGGAGAGTGGAGTATATGGGGTGGGGGGTGATTACTGACCTCATCTTTGTCTCCTCCCCAAGGAGAGGAGCAAGGGAGTTAAGACAGGGATCAGATAAATCAGCAGGTTCCCAGTCTACTGACCAGTAGAATGATAACACTCTGGGAAGCCACGAGATACATCCTAAGTGTGTAAATACACAAACACACACAGGAAAATATTCAAAATCTAGTGAAGTACAAAGAAAGGAATCTCCCTTGTCTCTGGCTTGGCAGTTGGAGGTTTCGAAGCAATAGTCTTTGCCTTGGTGGCCTCCTTCAGTAGAAAAGCTTTGTTCTTTTAATGTTTCCTGTACATACACAACCATTTCTTTTGGGGGCTCAGAGAAGATTTTCCCAGGAAAGCAGCCCTATCTTTAGCGTACCCCTGACTATTATCAGCCATGACAAAGACAGTGTCAGGACTAGCACAACACAGCCCAGAATGGTCTCCAACCATGCGATCTGGTAGACTAGATGGCCCACAGAATAATTACCCCTTTCTCTTAAGAAAGCAAATTTGGAAATACCCACAGTAAACATGTAGATGATGTAACCTGTCATGGGACTAAATGGAATCATATGTCAGCACTACAACTGTCCCTTGGTCTTCAGGTACAACTGAAAATTTTCCACTGTGGGAAGGAAGAGTTATGGAATGTGCAGAGAATCTCGGTATTTACCCTCCAAGATGGCAAGCCTGGAGTTTGGGGAAAGTAATATTAGGAAATTTTAGAAGGAAATATATATGGGGGTGGGGCATAAATGGAGACATGATCATGTCAACATGCAAAATGTACGTGTAATTAGGCCAGCCCGGCAAAGGTCCTGCAGAATGCAGTCAGTGAATGAAGAAGCAATGAACATGTGCTTTGAGCATCATCTACAGATAGACACGTGGCAGCTGAAGCTACCTGAGTGCATGAGTCCTTAGTATGAATCCTTAAGGACAGGACATAGAAGATGATGAGTATAACATCAGGAAGTCTTGGGAGACACCTCTGGGTATGAGTGGAAGAAAAGTTCCAGGAAAAGTGACAATGGAATGGAGAAGTGAGGGGATATGAGACAGGTTAGAGCACAAAAGTACAATAATGCAGGCACCATAAATCAATGGAGAAATACAGACAAATAAAAAATGGATTAATTAGAGAAAAATAATGTTTCCATTCTTACCTAATGCCACCTCTAAGGTTGAAACTATATGTGCCGTCCAATACAGTAAGCATAAGTCACATGTGGCTGCTGATCACTTGAAATGTGGCTAGTCTACATTGAGATGTGCTGTAAGTATAAAGTGCTGACCAATTTCGAAGACTGACGAGGAAAAGAATTTAAAATATTAAGATTTTTATATTGATTATATGTTTAAATGATATTTTAACGATACTGGGTTTCAAAAGGATTAAAGTTAATTTCAACTGTCTCATTTTACTTTTTAAATGTGTTTACTAGAAAAAAAATTAAAAGAATTTTGTCAGCGTTTATCTGAGCCAAAACTGATGATATATGCCAGGGAGCAAGATCTCAAATGCTCCCTAGAAATTTTTTAATTACACATATGGATAACCTATTTTTGTTTGTATAGTGTCACTCTAAATAGACTACAGACCTAAATGTGAAAGGTGAAAACATTAATGTTAATAGAAGAAAATGTAGGAGAATATATGTGAAATATATATATATATATATATATATATATATATACATATATATTTTTTTTCCAGGGGGGAGGAAATCTTACACAAAACTTCAAAAGCACAAACTTTAAAAATTGATTAATTCAATTACATAAAAAAATTAAGGATTTCTGCTCAATGAAGGGTACCATGGACAAAGGTAATAATTTGGTGGAATGAGAGAAAAATACTTGAAACCAATAAAATTAATATCTAGAATATACAAGAAAATCCTGTAAACTGACAATAAAAAGGAGACTGCAACCTAACAAGGAAAATGGGCAAAAGATATGAATAGGAAATTCACAGAAGAGGAAACCCAAAAAACTTAACAAGAAGGGATGCTTAAAAATCAATAATCAGATAAATGCAAATTAAAGTCACAGTGATACATCATTTTATATTAGACTGGCAAAAATTAGGAAACGGGGTAATGTCAAACATTGGCATAAGCATTGAGATACAGGGTCCTTCACGTGCTGCAGGTGGGAGGGTAGACTGGTACAATTTTTCCAAGTCAGTTCCATGTATACCTTAAGACTCAGTAACCTAGCAATTCCACCCCTGGATTTATACCCTCCCAAATTCTCACATGGATCCATTAGGGCACTCATAATTAACATAAGGATGTTAATTGCAACCTTCTTTATAATGGTGGGGTGTTTAAGGCAACCTGATGTCCTACACCCAGAGATGGATAGGTATGGTGGTTGTAAACTGTAGAGTACCACTCGGTGATGAGCTATCACATAGCACTTAGTGAAAAAAGTCAGAAACAACAAGCTCTAAAACAGAATTTACATCAATTAATTTGCCCAAATGCACAATCGGTGGATCTTGTTTAGATCCATATTAGAAGAAACCAACTATAAAAAGACATTTGCAACAAACAATCTAAGGAAAATTTGAATATAAATATTAGTTAATATTAGCATAGCATAGAGTTGATATTTTAGTTACAGGCAGATACTGAATTCCTTATAAGCAAAATGACATTATGTCTGGGATTTGCTTTTAAAAACACCAGCCCCCACCCCCAAAAAAGTAGAGGGGCTAGATGAAATATCAGTAAAATGTAGATAATTGTCAATGTTTGGTAAAAGGTTCATAGGAGTTCATTTTCTCTCCATGTGTCGTCTTGAAAATTTCCACAATAAAACTTTTTTTTTAGAAAGAATAAAACATTTCTAAATGGAAAAAGCAAATATGCACTAAAAAGTCTTGCAAGAACACAAACAATACAGATTAAACTCATTAGAATGGTTGCCTAGGACTGGCTGAGTGGCGCCATGGTTAAGAACTGGCTTGGGAC